GCCCGTTAGCAAACCCCATATATATATACATATATATATATAAGAAAAAGTTCATCCATATTTTGAACACAAATATAGAGTTTTGCACTTATTTGTTCTTATACTAGCTTTTGTAAAAACATTTTTTTATAACCTTGCACTTAGTGGTAAATAGTAAGAGAATAAGAATGTGCAGGTGATGAATATTTTATAATCAAAACAACGATCCTGAGACCGAACGCTCATGTGGTTCCTTGTGATTACAGGGGATGTCGCTCAAGCCCCACGGTAGGCACAAAAGTTTTTCGGTAGGATTGAGATCCCTTACTGAAAACATTCCAAGTTGTTTGCTCCATCATCCAGGTTGCGTTATTCTCTCTCTTCTCCTTATCCTAGCCATGGGGGAGGATGCTTGTAAAAGACACTTCAACACTCAAGTTAGTGACTTTGCATAATAATCTTGTAATAAAGATTAGTAATTAGGGTTAAATTACCTATCTTTTTCGTCAAACATATATTTATAAATATTATAATGAGCTTACCTTTAGGTCTGACTCATTAATCAGCAATAAATGTCATTATTCCTATTAATTGTCAATAAATGACAATTATTTTCATTAACTTCTCATTGATTACTCAGATTAATTTTCAGACCGGTCGGTCATTTTCTTGCTAGACGGTCAGTCGCCCCCGGTCCTTTGGCTAACCAGGTGGTCCAACAATACATCTTACATTAATAAACACCATAATACTCCTAGACATGCATAATGTACATTGCAAATTTTATCTCAAATAGACATGGAATAATAAATTTCAAACATGCACATTAACGCTCATAAGTGGCGCCCAAGGCTATGCTTCTTGCAGAAGGTGGCACTCAACGACAATCCTAATGCTCAATGTCAAATCTTTCGCAAAAGTTGGAGCTCAATAACAGCCTTGGTGCTCAACACCATTATTATCATAAAAAGTCATGCTTAATGACACCCTCATGTCGCTTAGTGTCTGGAACACAAATGCTCTAGACCAACAGAGAAAGATGGCTATAAGTAGTGTCCAATGGTGTCTTGCTACCTCGTAGTGCCAAAGCATTCACATTTTAATGCGCTTAGCATTATAAAAATGACGCTAAATGGTTTGGAGGTAAAATGCTCCTAGACTTGCACAATAAACTGACACTTAATGTTAGTCTGCTACTACTCAACGTTGTATTAGATATTTATAGATAAATTTTTGTGATTTAGGGATAAATGAACGTGCTCAAATGATCAAATTGGTATTCTCTTCTTAGTACTTTGGTCAAAAACAACTTTTAATGTTAGGGTATATACCAATTGACTCAAATGATTAGATCTAAGTTCCTCAATCAACACAAAATCAATCCAAAAATATAAAATAAAAAACATTCAATACAAACCAAATTTAGTAGATCAAACATCATCATACCACTCAATCATACAAAACAACATTTCAAGATATCTAATAACTTAAAAACAAATGCAATTAGCTTCTCTTACCTAGATAAACGAACTTGCTCAAAAGAAACTTAAATCCCTTTCAAACTCATAAGTTTCCCTATCTACACCTAAGAACAACATAAACATGATTAGGACATATCATTATAACCACTAATCATTAGATATTCATATATATGACTAGAAAGACGCATGCCAGTGAAAGAAGGCTCACACGCAACAAATAATAGAAAAAGACCAAGAAAAGAGAAACTCAACTTACACGAATGAAGAAAGTGATATGTCCAAATTTAATCTTCTATCAAACGAGCAGAGAAGAAGAACCCTTAGAGAAAAGTTAATGAAATCTAGAAAAGTAGTTTTTAGAAAAATCGTGTATTTTAAAATAATAAAACTCATTCATAACAAAAAGTATTTATATTAAAAATTTTTAATATTAAAATAATTGAGTGTCATTATTTTTAAATAATTATCACTTCTAAAATGTTATTTCTTAGGTCTTTACAATTTTCTTATTTATTGTTAGGAAAACTATATTTTCTTTTGGAACTGTTAATTAAAGTTTTGGTTAAATATGTTTTTGGTCACTTTGATACAAAATTAAAATTCGTTCTTATTGAAAACTTTGATACATTTTGATCTCTAAACTTAAACATTGAATGTATAGAGTTCTTTTAAATCCAATTACGCTAAATTATTTTGATGTACCAAATACATTTAATATATTCCCGCTTCAATGTCAATATAGAAACACGTTTAACATGTAAAAAAAGTTTAACATAATTAAATTAAAAAAATTATATTTATTTTTTTAATTTAAAAACTAAAATATATTAAAGTTTTGAACCTAAACAAATATCAATTTCACATTAAATTTGGGATTGAAAATTTTCAATGTTTATAATAATTTTTTTTTCAACTTTTATCAATATTAATCAGGTTTTTTTATTAATATTTATTTGAAGAATTTTTTTTCGGATTTTAATAAAAAAGTCACTGAAAATTATCAACAGTCAATTTCATAAAATTAACTTTAATAATGATCTATCTAAATAATTATAATCAACATAAACCGAAAATAATATAAGTTAATGTTAATAAAAAAATCTTACAAATAGCACTTGAAAAACATTTTAAGGAACTTTGACCAAAATAATAACACTAAACAAAATAATGTATAATATTAATACTTTTATATTGTTAATAATTATTTAATATTTAAATAACTTTCTGCATTAGATTTTAATTAAAATACTTCATTCAAATGAAAAGAAAATTAAGATTCACTGTAACTGAATTCTTTTATCCAAATAAAATATTTAAAATAACGAATGTCTTGAATGCTATGAACCAAAATTAAGTTTATGCCGCCATTCAATCTTTTTCTTCATCTTTACAAACTCTATAACATTCTTTTTATATTGTGTTGAGAACATATTATATACACCACCTCTACTGTAGGATAAGATTTTAAATATTTTTTTCTAAAATTCATTAACTTATTTGTAACCTACACTTTATGATAACAACCTTTATGGTTTTGAATAGATTAAGAAAACATTGTTGCAGTGTTAGATGGGCAAGTTGTTGAATATATTAATGTTTGTGTCCTTTTTCTTTATATACTTCATTTGGGTCTAACATGGAATTCAATGTAAACACTTAGGTTAATTAAAAGTGAAAAAGTTTTAGGTTGGCTTCATTGTCTTGCTTGTCCAATTAATTAACAAAGAAGACAATGACAATGTTGTGCAACACAAACATTATTGGAATCGTTGAAAATGTATGAATAAGAATGAGGAACAATCACATTTTTTCACTCATAAAAGATTATGCTATTATTATATAATAATTAGATGTTTTAGTTAAATTTTAAGTCGATTGTAAACCTGAATTTTTTTATATTATTCAATTAAATTTTTATTATTTAAATTTTTCGTTATTTAGATGATTAAATTTTTATTTTATTCCGTTATTTGTTTATTAATCAAAGCTAAAAGAACAAATAGTACTGTTATTACTGGCATAATATGATAATCTCTCCAAAAAGAAAACTACTTGAATAGACTGAATAGAAATACACATCAACTGAAGATATCAAGCGTAATAAACATTTCATTATTTAATCAAATAAAAGTTATTTTTTAATTAATTTTCATTTTTATTACGCTATATACATAATACTATAAAAATAAAAGCATATTAAAAAAAGTACGATTTTGAGTTAATATAAAAATGATATTGCAATAAATACAAAATAACGAGTCGTTTTTATTATGTTATTAAAAACAATTTTACCATATAATCTTCACTCTTCACTCATTGTTTTGTACTATAACTAAAATATCATCTTATATATTAACTACATAACATTACATTTTTTAATATGAAAAAAGAACAAATAAACAAGATGTGGTATCAAGCATCCTAACCAGCCAAAAGATGATAAATAAACAATTTTATTATATAATTGTAATGTTGGTCCATTTGCCAAACATGACCTTTTGGAATGGTAGTATATGGATGCATCTCAAGAATCCTTTAGGAGGCTCCACGTGGAAGCCATTAAGCCCATCATCACTATCTTTCAACTGCTTGACCAAGCCAAAGCCATGGCAATAGGGGACAAAAACTTTTATTTTTTTAATATTTTCAGCACTTGCTTTTCTCTACGTTTGGACATGATTCCATATTCCTAATGGTGAGCTATATATAATCATTGTCAAATTGGGCATTCACAAATTACTTTTATATAGAAAGACAAAGTGAGATACATTAAAATAATAAGATGCAAAAATTGAAATACTTTACTTTTCTTTAATCATATTATTCATCCAAATCAACTCTATAATTTTTTGGCTTATGAAACCACCCAGCTTCTTATCCCAATCACATTTTCTTTCATCCAACTAGAAACTTTGCCTTTAAGCTAACCAAATTTCATACCACTTGCACCAATTCTTGCTAATTATGTTAATTACTCAATCATTACACAATACTTATGTATATAAATTCGACGTACATAAATAATAGACGTTGTTTTTAAATCAAAACCTTAAAATAATAAATTTACAGGTCCTTCTAGTATATATTTAATTTTTTAATCTTTATTTAATGTGATATACTTAAATTATCATTTAATTTCTCGACAATTTTAACATCTGACATTTGTCGAAAGAATTTGTGCATGATTTTGATATCTAATAAATTTTTAACATTCACTATTTTATCTTTCAATTTCTTTCCTTCTACAGTGTTTAATTTATTTTAATGATCAAAATAATCGTGGTGCAAGTGTGTCAAAAAAAACAATTTTCTAAGTTAATTTATTTGTCAGGGTGCAAATTGCCAACAAAGGAGACAGGAATAGCGGTCGTTCAGAACAAAATCAGGAGAAATTAATTTATTCTTCATACATTATTCTAAACATTTTTAAAACTAACTACCAACAATAAAAAAACAAAACAGGAAATGTATATGTAATATACTAAGTCAACTTGCTAAAAGCCTTTGCAACTTTCTTCAACCATATATTGTGATCTCAGAAACTCGCAAGCAACGACAACATGAAAAATTGAGGAACCAGACCAATGAAAACGTGAACCTGTGTGTTTTTGTGAGGGCTAAGGAATTAATCATAGTTTCCAATGGAAATTCAGTTCCAACATCCAAAGCAACAGTTGAGACCAAAAGGGAGAAAGAACAAAAGCAAGAACAAGTATGTTGGAGTGAGGCAAAGGGCATCAGGGAAATGGGTTGCAGAGATCAAAGAAACAACACAGAAGATAAGAATGTGGCTTGGCACATACGAGACTGCAGAAGAAGCAGCCAGGGCTTATGATGAAGCTGCATGCCTCCTTCGTGGATCCAACACTCGCACCAACTTCATCACACGTGTGTCCTCTGATTCCCCTCTTGCTTCAAGGATTCAGAACCTTCTCAGCAACAGAAAAGGCATCAAAGAACAAGAACAACATGCGGAAACCTCTGCCACCACAAGGGTCAACACCAACCAACAACATGATTTGAGTCTATCAGAAGAAGGAGTTTCTACCCTACAATATGAGGAGCCAAAGTTCCAATCTTTGCCGGAACAAGTGTCTATATTCAGTGCTCTCCAACAAGATTGTTGCCAAAAGAAGACACGTGTGAGAGATCAGAAGAAAAAAAGGGTTACCATCACATCAAGTAGTGGTAGTAGTACTGACACAAGCATTAGTGACACAAGTGAGAACTCGCTTTGTAGTGAGACAAAAACCCAGAACACAGAACTGTTTGATGATGATTATAGACCCGATTTGAGCAATTTCATGGGGTCTGAATCAGGTTCTGGGAAAAATCCTTCATGGGGTTGTGAAGTTTTTTGTGATGATTTTCCCTTTGGCCAAGTAATGGATGTAGCAAACCTGCCTGATATAGCTGGCTTGGAGCTTCCAGAGTTTGAAAGGATGAAGGTTGAAAGGCAAATTTCAGCTTCACTTTATGCAATGAATGGTGTGCAAGAGTACATGAACACTGTTCAGGACTCTAATAACACTGAAGCTACGTGGAATCTTCCTCCCTTGTCCTCTTTTTTGTGTTAGTTAGTATGATCCTCCAAACCTTTCTTACAATATATGTATGCAGATTTTCCTTTCTTATTTTAAACAGGAAAGAAATAGGTTCTCAAGATTCAAAATTTCATAGGAACTCAATTCATGAAGTTATCAAGTTGAATCTATTGAAACATGAATTTTAGGTTTTAAATTGTTGGAATTCGACTAATAATAAAGTGAATTTAGAATATACAAGAGTTTGTATCAGCAGCTGCAAGAGGAATTTTTTTAGTCATTTTGTGCAAGGAGAAACTGTTCATTCATTTTGGGGTCAATTTGCGTCTTTTTTCTTTTCGCACTCCAATTATTACTAAATGCACCATATATTACTAAATATACTAAAATACCCTCTCTCTCTCTCTTTCTCTCACTGCACCAGACACTACTGTCATTCTTGCCATTGCACTATCACTGTTGTACCTCCATTCTCCACTGTAGAAGAAGAAGAAGAAAAAGGAGAGTTTGCTTTGAAAAGCTCTTTCTAAAACACATTTCTAGGTTCCGTAAAATTTATCCCGAAAATTTCGTTTCACAAAATCGTTTTGGAAGATGTTATATACTTAAAAAAAAAAAAAATTGTTCTAGAAATTTTGTTTTAGAAAGCTTATATCAGAATATGTTTCATTCATCCTGAAAAGCTTGTTCTAGAAATTATGTTAAAAAAGTCCTGTTTTGAAAATTTTATTTTGGAAATTATATTCCAAAAGTTCACGGAACTAGTTTTGGAAAATTTTCAGAAAATACAATCTCGAAGTCACTTTTACGAAAAATAAAATATCTTTTTTAAAATTAGAGCGTACAGTTAGAAATTAGGGAGGTACATAAAGAAATAAACAACTTAATTTGAGTTTGTAAATAAAATCATCATTTTCAAGCAAAGTTTGAGATCTGAATTTGATAACAAAAAAGGTGGTATAAGGAAGAGATTTGGCACTTTTAGACACAGAAGGTTAATGAGAAATCCAAAATATTATAATTTTTAAGAAAATGTTTGTGATGGAAATGATATTTTTAAAGAATGATTAGAACTTCTTTGATGGATTATAAATATTATTGAAAATATTTATAATTTTTTCTTAAATATCAGAGATAAATCTATACTTTTAGTTCAAAATTTATTCATTTATCACATTTAAATAATCTAATAAAAAATTAATAAAGTATTTTTATTATTGTAAAACTCAACTCAAATATGTTAAATTTTCATTTTTTTTATGTGGGAACAATTTTATTGAGAAACATAAAAAAATTGTTTACACCAAGTTTATTTTGTAAAGAATAAACTAAACATTAAAAACAAACATTTTCAAATTTTTAATTTTCTACAAAATAAAAAATTTCTCATATCAATTACGTCTGAAGATCCAATTGGTTATAAGATATAAAGTGATTAAAAATAGAACAAATATAAACATTTTTGGTGCTATTATCTAATAATATTTAGAATTCTTTAGTTGATAATGTGTATTTTTCATACTACTAAAACAAACCTTTAAATATGTTTAGAGATTCGTACTAATCGCACCTATGTAATAATGTATGCAACTTTTTTTATTTTCATAATAGTAAATAAATAAAAATAAGTAAAAAGAAACTATAAAAGACGAGTAAATAAATAGTCTCACTAAAAGAGTATAACGGATCTTATTCCTTTTAAATATTTCTACTTTATTTCTGCAGCACTAAACAACCTCTACTACTAGATTGAATAAATATATTTTATATTTGGAAAATGAACAAAATTACTATTTTTAATTAGTAAGTTTTGGGCCACATTTACTACATTAATTTTAACTAAAATATAATTTTATAAAATATAATTAAGTTATATAATTATATAACTTAAGAATATATATATATATATATATATATATATATATATATATATATGTGTGTATGAGTTTGTTAACGTGTGTATGCCTGTTTTTCAGTTGGTACATTTTAGCAATGTGTACTGAGTTTTAGTAGACAAAAATACCCTTATATATCATAGATTCTAAGTTTTAAGGTTAAGGGTATTTTAATAATTTTCATTCTCAAAACTAAAAGAAAAACCCCAAATCTTTACTCACCTCTCTCATTCCTCTCAACCCTTTCTCTTTCATCGCTCTCACTCCAACCTTTGCTTTGTCATTCCTATTGTAGCCCCAATTCAAAAAATCAGAAACACTTGCCGTTAAACAATTTTACAAAAAATGATTTTATAATGAGTTTTCATTTTATAATTTTTGTCTTATCTAATTTTATCCAATTTTCACAAGCATAAAGGAATTGGTAATTGCACTGGAAAAGATCAGAAATACTCGTTGTTAAACAATTTCTTACAAAAAATGATTTTATAATGAATTTTCATTTTATAATTTTTGTCTTATCTAATTTTATCTAATTTTCACAAGCATAATGACATCAAAGGAATTGGTAATTGGCCCAGAAACACTCGTTGTTAAACAATTTCTTACAAAAAATGATTTTATAATGAGTTTTCATTTTATACTTTTTGTCGTATAAAATTTTATCTAATTTTCACAAGCATAATGACATCTGAAGGAATTGGTAATTGGCCTGGAGGTTTTTTTTTAGAATAATGATTCAACATATGCAGATGATGAAATTAGAGAGGTTAGTGAAGATGGTGAAATTGAAGAGATTTTGAATGAACCTTTTGCCTGAAGGTGAATATGTCAATGACTCAACTCTTTACAAAGGAAAATTGTTTAACGACAAGTGTTTCTGATTTTCTCAATTGGGGCTACAGTAAGGATGAAAAAGAAAAGGTTGGAGTGAGAGAGATGAAAGAGAAAGGGTGGAGAGGAATGAGAGAGGTGAGTAAGAGTTTGGGTTTTTTTTTGTAGTTTGGAGAATGAAAATTATTAAAATATCCTTAACCTTAAAACTTAGAATCCATGATATATAAGGGTATTTTTGTCTACTAAACCCCGATACACATTGTTAAAATGTACCAACTGAAAAGTAGGCGTACGCACATTAGCAAACCCCACACTAGTGCAGTTAAGGGAAATGGCACCGGTTATTTTCGGTTATAGGCACCGGTTCTGCAATCGAGGCTTATACAGATGAGGTAAAAAGAAATAAGTTTTTTGCCTCGGTTCACCAATAACCGAAGCAGTACAATTTTTTTTATATTTTTTTTCGAAGAACGTTTCACCTCGGTTCCTATTGAACCGAGATAGTTTCTCCCCATACACATTAAGGACAATTTCTGCTTGTAGATCTTCCAACAATCAAGCAGAAATTCTAACAATCAAGAATTAAGCTACTCAAAGCCTAATATCAAGACTTTTTAACCACAATTCTCCTTCTTTGTTAGGGGCAAAGGGTTCCCTGTTTCAATGTCTATAACTTTAGCGCAAGGATAACTGGTGGCACTGTTGGCACTGTTGGCACATTGTTAACCTTATGCTTCTGGATTTTATCAAGCATTTCTTGGAAGTCAAACTTCTGCATCAAAACTGTTGTTATACCAGCACACAACAATCCTAATCCAAAGAATGCAAATCAATAGATGTGAAACATTGGAATGAAGGCCAAGAAAATATCATCTTGGATCCACTAACTTCAGCACACCAGAAAATCAATCTCATTATGGAAAGGAGATTTGCATGAGTTAAAACCACACCTTTGCTTATTCCCGTGGTCCCTGAAGAGTAAAATATAGCATCAGTCATGCCACAGGAACTTGCGACAACTCGGTTGAATCATAACAACCTTCTATTAACTCTTTAACTCGGTACCGTGGGCGTCGGCGAAGGCAACCCACTCGCCATTGAATGAGAAACGCGCAACGGTGGCCGGATCTGGCGTGTTCCCTGTAGATAGAGACGTGAAGGGGATTCTTGACGCTCACGATAACCACCGTTCTGGCGTTGGTGTAGACAATGGAGTTGGACTTGGCGTCGCCGGAGATCAAAATCCCGCGGTCGCACTCTGAAGATCAGAATCTCGCGAGATTGTACAACGGCTCAATTTAGGGTTCATGGAATTTGGGATTTTTTAATTTCTGGGTTTGTAGGTGATGAAGATGAATGATGGCGCGTTCTGCTTGCGTCGCTGTGGATATTTCTTTGATCGAGTTGCGAGGCTAATGTCGGAGCTTCATGAAGATGGCCATGGAAGATAGCGCCGACGCAATTGTGGTGAGGACGCGATTCTAGTGGCGCGATTCTGGTGAGGACGCGATTCTAGGTGGTTGACGGCAAGGTGGCTGATGGCAAGGTGGCTAGGGTTTCGCCTAGTGGTGGTGGAGGTCGCAGGGGAAGAAGAAGATCGCTCTAGGGGAAGAAGAAAAATGTGTAAAGTTTTTCTCAGGTGTGAGTAATTTGAAAGAGTTACTAGCTTGATTAATCTACTAACCGGTGCCTAAAGAGCTAAAAAAAATTCCAAATTAACCTATATGCCTCGGTTAGAAGGCAAACCAAAAACATAAATGCCTAATTACATCGATTCGTAAAATAACCGAGGCAGTAGAGTGTATAGACTCCGGTTCCTACTGAACCAAGGCCTATAAGTTCGCCTTAATTACAAAATTGCCACCACATTTCAATATGTTTCGATTTTGTGAAAACCGAAGCGAATTAGACGCGTTAAAAAACTGTTATTTTACTAGTGCCATATGAGATCAAATTGTATATAAATATTGCGAATATTATTTTATATGATTTTATGAGATTAAATTACGTTATTATTTTAACGTAATAGTGAGAGTAGTACAATTAAAATAAGTTGGAACGTATGAGCCAATTCAGTTCATCATAGGGTTGAGTTAAGTTGGATTGAAAAATATTTTGAAATTTTAATGAGTCAATTGTGAACTTGATTCATTAAAAACTCGACTCACCGGTTAAACCTTTGGTAAGTCGGATTGACTCACCAAACTCACATAAATTTTCTAACAAGTACTTTTAGTTGGGTTAATCATTTTACAAAATATTAAAACATCGTGTGAAATTATTTTAGTATGAAATAATTAGACAACATGAAAAATTCACAAATGTATACTTAGTAACTCAAAGTTACTAAATATTTTGTTGAGAAGTTTTGGTGATGTGAATGAAATCTAATGTCCTTCTCATTTATTTAGATTTGAATTAGAAAATTTTTATTATTTTTTTATTGAAAAAGAAAAAACACGTAATTAAGTAAGATAGTGAATCATTCGGTTTAACCCACCAACCCGTGGTGAGCCAAACTGGGTTTAAATTTTTTCACTTTGCTAATAACTGAACTGGGTTAGATTAACTCACTAAGTAGCCAGGTGGTAAGTCGAATCGGGTTGGACTGGATGACCCGTTTTGATTCCATCTCTTGATATAAAAAAGTTTTGTAGTTGATAAAATATTATGTACACAAAGCATTAGCCATTTCAACATTGAACAATTGATTTTGCCCTGAAATAAGCATGAGATTTCAAATGCCGTGATAACTACACTACCATTGTACATGAAATAAACACTTCTCTCTCAAGTCTGGATGACCCGTTTTGATTCCATCTCTTAATTTGAAAGAATCATAAAATTGCAGACACCATAAAACAAAATGAAGCATAAATCAATTAACAAGGATAACAATACTACATATGACAAGACATAAAACATAGTAAGATGTAATTAGATTAGGTTTTCAGTAACCAACTTCATCATCCACACCTTCATCTCCAACTTCCTCATAGTCCTTTTCAAGGGCTGCAAGATCCTCCCTGGCTTCTGAGAACTCACCTTCTTCCATGCCTTCACTCACATACCAATGCACAAAGGCTCTTTTGGCAAACATGAGATCAAATTTGTGATCAATGCGTGAGAAAACCTCAGCCACGGCTGTGTTGTTGCTAATCATACAAACTGCTCTCTTCACCTTTGCAAGGTCACCATCTGGTACAACTGTTGGAGCCTGGTAGTTTATACCACATTTGAAACCAGTAGGACACCTGAAATTAGTCATCAAAAACATTCATTCACATTCTCTGTGAAAGACAAGTTATACATATATAAGCATCATAGTATGATGTTCTTCTAAGGAAATGTACTTACCAGTCTACAAATTGAACTTGTCTCTTTGTCTTGATATTTGAGACAGCAAGGTTTACATCTTTTGGCACAATATCCCCACGGTACATGAGGCAACATGCCATGTACTTTCCATGTCTTGGATCACACTTGACCATCATGCTTGTTGGCTCAAACACAGCTCTGGTGATCTCAGGCACTGATAGCTGCTCATGGAAGGCCTTGGCAGAAGATATAACCGGGGCATAAGATGAGAGCATGAAATGAATTCGTGGATAAGGCACAAGGTTGGTTTGGAACTCTGAAATGTCCACATTGATTGCACCATCAAATCTCAAGGAAGTGGTCAAGGAAGATATTATTTGAGATATCAAACGGTTCAAGTTGGTGTAAGTTGGTCTTTCTAATTCTAGTGATCTTCTGCATATATCATATATTGCTTCATTGTCCAAGAGCACAACCACATCACTGTGCTCAATAAGAGAGTGATTAGAAAGAACAGTGTTGTAAGGCTCAACAACTGCAGTTGATACCTGCATGTTAATAACTAGTTAACACCATTCCCACCACAATAAGGGAATTCTACTTTTGCATGAATTGAGGAACCCAATAATAACTTGAAGTGTCCAAAGCAATATATATATATGTGAAAACATCATGTAATTTTACAACATCTCTTGGAGTATGCAACAAAATCATTTATTATTCAGATGCATTTGCAATTTGCATGATTTACTACTACACATAGTTTGTTTCACTAGACCTGAGGAGAAGGATAAATGATGAAGCCAAGTTTAGACTTTTTTCCATAATCTACAGACAAACGTTCGAGAAGCAATGATCCCAATCCAGAACCAGTGCCACCACCAACAGCATTGAAAACCAAGAAACCTTGCAAGCCAGTGCAATTATCAGCTAATTTTCTGATACGGTCAAGGCACAACTCTTCAATTTCTTTTCCAACTGCAGCACATACACCACACCAAATTACTGATACTTTCAGATAGATAAAAAAATACCCAGTTATTCTTTTGATCAAATATGGAAATGTCTGACCTGTGTAATGTCCCCTTGCAAAGTTATTAGCAGCATCTTCCTTACCAGACATTAATTGTTCGGGATGGAAGAGTTGTCTGTAAGGACCACATCTTACTTCATCAATTACAGTAGGTTCCAGATCAACAAACAGTGCCCTAGGAACATATTGGCCACTTCCAATTTCACTGAAGAAGGTGTTGAAAGCATCATGTGCTTCAGCTGACCCATCACTGCAAACACAAGTATATAATTATTATCTGTTGTGGCAAAAAGTAAAGAGAGAAATACTGCCATTGTATTTATTAAAAAAGCTTAATTAATAGTTTCTGAAAATGGAAATCTTTGAATACATTGAGGAAATTTTATTCACATTTTGTTTTCTGGGTTTGGAAGGTGAAGTTTATATCAACTTCACGTTTTTAGAAACCAATACATAGTTAACCATTGATTTTAACCTTCATTGACACCTAAAGGCCATTGGTTAAGTAGAATTAGACTTGGATGAATATTCTTATTAATTCAATTTATACTGAATGTAAATAAAGAACTGTTATAGACTGTATTGAATAAAAAATTGAATGATGAGAGTTGTAAAATTATAGAAAATATATTGATGACAAGTAATTTTTATTTTTAAAATACATTAAAAAAATTATTAATATATAAATATTAATATATTTTGAACAACTATTATATTTTAACAACTTTTTTAAACAATTTTTTGACAACACTATGAGTCATGTTTTTATTGGTTCGTATATTTGAAACGCTCCAATCACAAGTTACCACATAGGTTGTTGTAAAAAAGTTGTCAAAAAAAGTTGTTAAAAAAGTATTTTCCTATTTTTAATGTTCATAAAAAATAACATAAAAAAAAAACCTAAGAAACAATTTGGAATCGAAAGCAATCTCAATGGTAAAGGATTTCTAGTTGTTTCAAGGAAATGAAAAAAAAAATCACAATATCTGAATAATAGTTATGAATGTGTATTCATCATGTATATATACTTATTGGAAAAGAAAATTGTAGAAGGAAATAACGAATTTTAGAAGAGTTGATAGAAAATAATACATGATACATGATGAGAGATTTCAATGGAATAAAAAATTGAATCACAGAGATTGATTTTAAAGAAATTGCCACATATTATATTTCAAAATTGGTAGAAATAGGAGAAATTGATGTATATAAAGAAAATTGAAGAAAAGAAATGATGATAAATACAAGACCTGGGCATTGTTCCATCAGGTTGAATGCCATGTTCAAGGCAATATAGCTCCCAGCACGAATTACCAACCTGAATTCCAGCTTGTCCAATATGAATGCTTATTATTTCTCTCATATTCCAAGACTCTCTTTTCTTCTATGATTGTGTTTAACAATGTAAAACACTAATCAAAAGCAATAATCACAATTTCAAGGGAATAAAACTGTTAATTGCTGGTGGGAAGGGAATACAAAATAGTCCAGAAATCACACAAAAAGAAGAAAAACGAGAAACTCTGATTTTATCCCTTCCTCTCTCTCTCTCTCTCAACGTAAATGTAATTAGGGCATGAAGTTCCAATCAAATGCTATAAGCACTGAGTTTTACAGATGATTAAATCCTCAAATCAATGAACGGTTTTGATTAATATTAACTGGGAACCAGTCATTTGGCACCAATTGATTGAATGAGTTAATTTATTTTTATTCTAAATATTTAATTTTATTTTAATTTTTTTTACGTATTTTTCATTCATTATTGTTTGTGTTGGTCTCACTAATTCAAGAACAAGGAGAACCAGACTTATACATTTAATGACATTCAGATGAGTTTCATACAAACGAAGAGTGTGTCGAATATAATTTAATTGAAATATGCATCATTAAATTGTTTATATATGAAATATATGTTTTTCATTTATGATGATAAAATTTGAAAAAATGACAATTAATTAAAGTTATTTAGATAATGTTTCTAAATATAGCTGTTATATAGTATACTACATAACGAATTATAATTGAATGATAATGTCAAAAAATTATGTTATTAGTAATAATATATAAATTGCATAGTTAAAACATCCAACTAAATTCATCTTAAAAGCAAAAGAATGTGTTTGTGTTATTTGTAAAATCCTATATAGCGATATTAGTATTTTGAACAAGTATGTTGTGAGAAGAGTCTATAGTAATTGTGTGGAAGAGTTTTTTTTTCTCCCATTAGGAAAAACCTTCGTTTTAATCTATGTGAAATTTTAAGAGTTTTAAGAAAGTTTTTGTAACATCCCAAAAATACAGTATTAACTATATCATAGAATAATTACATTTAATAATAATTCAGATCAGTCTTAAATTAAAAGAGCGTACACTTACGGCCGAACGACCTTACAGACAGATTTATACATTTAAAATGTACAGCGGTACGAAACTAATCCGAACGGTTTACAAAAGAAGCTACCGAATGGTCAAATAAAATCAAAAGAGGAGGTGGTCGAACGACCACCTTGCTACGCTACACTACTGACCGAATGTCCTACTGTTCGGTCTTTACTTCTACTTCTACCAAATTTTCTTCTTCCCGCGCTTCCTCCAACAGCTCGCCCCCTTATGCTCACATCCACACGGATGATCATTGCAACAACAAGACGAACGTACAAGACGAGACAACACAATAAAACACAGGGTAAGCTTATGTAATTTAATTCGTGCAAAAACATACATTTCAAATAATCCAACACGCAAGATACATTTCAATCATGGATATCGTACAAAGCCTATTACTAGACTGACTGTCCGGACTGTATGAAAATTTTGTGTAGCTACAGGCGTTCGTGCACCCGGGTGATGTAGTAATTGGGATGCACTCAACAGCTGCCACCCGAGGTTAGCCCTATCTGTCCAAGTACCTAAGGACTAGGACCTCTTGTCGTTCCCACACATGACCTACCCTCCTCTACGTGAAGACGAGTACTCACGGAACATCAGGATGAACACCAGCTTAGCATACCCAAGTCATACTTTACAATTTCCAACATTCATACATGATCGTTCCTCCCTGGAACGTCGTCCATAATCCACAACATTTCCAACTCACATTTTCTTCATCTTTCATTAATAAATATTTATTTAATCACCTGTACAACGATTCATGAGGATTACAAATAACGAACGTCAACCCGAACTTGAAACCGGGTCGAACAAATAGGGCAAGAGCGAACACTTGAAGTGAGACTCAGGAGTCTTCAGTTCTAGAAGGGATTTAGACTAAAGGGTATTATGGGGTTGAGAAAGAAACCGAGTAAAATCAATTATCACAATAACAAATGGAACGAGCGTTATTTAAAAAGTGGTCAATTAGATGAACTGACTTTGAGGACTTCAACCGAACATCGAAATGACCCTGCCCAGTACTATGGCTCTATGCGATAACCAATGAATACAGATACTTCGAGACTTTCAAAAAGAAGACTTAGGATAATTCCCATAAAGAAACCGAACGATTATGGAAACTTAGTTTAACTGAGTTTAGTATCGAAGAATCCAAAATGCCAGTCAAAGACTGAACACTACATTGAGCTAACCCTAGAGAGCTTAAACGAACGCTCTTATTATGAAGTTTAATTTAAGGAGATAGAACGAGGGTCTGGTGTAAACCAAACACTTACTTAGGACAACACTTGGTTAAAGACCAGGTGCTTCTAAACTTAAAGAAAAGAGGATTGATAATTATACTTAGATACTATTGGAATCGCATTTAAAATGATTAAATATACGAATACATATATTTACCAAATTTTAAGTTTATCACAGACTACTCAGATACAACTACGCTTGGCCGAACGCTCAAGCATAGTATTACCGCACGAATACGCTCGTCCTCAACTAGGATTCTTTCCAAATGAAAGAATCCAATTTCAACCGAGCTTACTAGAAATACCGAACGGTCGAGGACCGTTCAGTAACGACGTACAATTTCATAGTGGAAATTTCATACCAAAATTATTTATATTCTAACTCATTTCTTAACATATAACTTCATAATCTTTCACATTCATATCATAATCATTTTCAGATTCATAACATCCAAACATAGAGATTTCATACATATAATAATAACATAAAATCAATCATTTTTCATATCCAATCAAGTCAACGAACGTTCATGCAACACATAATCATATAAATTAAATTAATAAGCTTCCCTTACCTCTAGCGTGAACGATCGTTCTCAAGATATAGAATTACGGTTTGTCTGACTAAGATTCTCCTACCCTCAACGTTCAATCAACTCTTCAAAGCAAAACAAACAACGAGATGTCGCAACCGGAATCGCGACGGGACGACGATCCAAAAAGAAAACGGGTTTTGAAAAGAGATTTGGAGTCGCCACCATAGTTTATTATGGAAAACTACAGAAAAACCATAAAATATAAGACACGGCCCACAAAACCATATTCTGGGTTCGGGAGTCGGTTACGCGTAGGGAATGTGTTAGCACCCTACAACGCACTGCCCTAAGGCAGTACCTCAACTAAATGCACGAATATGATGTGGTTTTCAAATGGTTAACTATCCCCTAAAATAAAATTCTAAAAAACAAAATATAATTTTAGTTTTTTGGGCCCGACAAGGATTGACCTTGCTCCTACGTATTCTCATTCAAAATGAGAAATCAGGTTACGTATTCTTTTTGAAAATCTGTTTGAGAATATTTGTTTGGAGAATTACTTGAGAAAATTGTTTGGGAAAATTTGTTTGGAAATGATTATGAATAATTTGGATTTTAGGGAAGTGAACCTGACAAGGACTAGCCTTGCTCCTACGTATCTCCACTTTTGATGGAGAATCAAGGATCATGTAGTTCTAGCTTGAAGATTGTTTGTTGCTTGAAAAAGCAGATGTTTTTTTTTAAATTTTTTGAAGATTTTATGTTTTTGATATTTTCGAGAAAAGAGAAGGTAACGAGCACTAGGCCGACGCGGACGGTCACACGAGTACTCATACCATTATTTAAAATTATGTAAATAGAGAGAAAGGTATTGAACACTAGGACGATGCGGACGATTCACGAGTGTTCGACCTTTAAGACATATTTGTAATTTTATTTAAAAGAGAGAAAAAGGTTTTTAGCACAAGGACGACGCGAGCGGTCCCACGTGTGCTTAACCTTTAAACGTATTTTTGTAATTTTTTACTTAACAAAGAAGGGAAGGTTGTAGTCACAAGGACGATGCGAGCGGTCTCACGTGTGCTTAACCTTTTAAAACAATATTTTTGTAATTTTTTATTTAAGAAAGAAGGGAAGGTTTCTAGCACAAGGACGACGCGTGCGTCTCACGTGTGCTTAACCTTTAAAAAATATTTTTGTAATTTTTTATTTAAGAAAGAAGGAAGGTTTCTAGCACAAGGACGACGCGTGCGGTCTCACGTGTGCTTAACCTTTAAAACGTATTTTTGAAATTTTATAAGAAAGAAGAAAAGGTTTTAGCACAAGGACGACGCGAGCGGTCTCACGTGCTAAACCTTTTAAAGCGTATTTTTGTAAATTTATTTTTTATGTGTATATAAGTAAAATTTATATATTATATATATATTTTGAAATAAGTGGATATTTAAAAGAAATAAATACAATAAAATAATAAAATAAAATAAAATGAAATGAAATAAGATAAATAAAAAGGCAAATAATAAAATAAATAATAATAAAAATAAAACAAAATGGGGGTGCCAAAATAAAAATAAAATAAAAAAAAAGGTGTCGAACGGTCAGTCGAAAAGCTTGGTTAACGAGCGGTTCGTGGAAGAGAGCGGAGGCTATCGTGCGGACGTTGGGGAGAAGGCTGAGGTTGCCAAACGGTCGGTCGAAAAAGTTTGGATAACGAGCTGCTGTTAGGGAGAGGCTGAAGCGAACACGTCGAAAAAGGCTTAGGTATGAGCGCTTTTGGGGAGAAGGTTGAACGCGCCAGGGTAAAGCTTAAGCTTAACGAGCGGGTCAGTGCGAGGGCTAGTTGGTGGTAAGTTGAAACGGTCAGTCGAAAAAGCTTAGGTAGCGAGCGTGTGTTGGTCGGGCTCGTTGTGGAATTGAGCACAAGAGCGCGTAAGGTTGAGCGAGCGGTTTTGGATACGAGCGTCGTTGGAGTATGGTAGTCGAGAAGCTTAGGTATAACGACGATCGTTCGTTTGGACAACGAGCGTTCGTGGTGAGAAGGTTGACATCGGTCAGTCGGAAAGAAAGGCTTAAGGTTTAACGAGCGACGCTCGTTCTTTGGATAACGAGCGCTTGTTCGTTTGGATACCGAGCGCTCGTTCGTTTACTTCTGGGTGGCCCACCGGGGGTTTCTAACCTAGAATTCCCCTAGGGTCTGCTTCCCATTCTCATTCACTCATTCACACCGTTCCTCTCAAATGAGACCAATGTTCTTCTCTGACCAAAAGGAGTTGCTCCTCCACGCACGCCCAATCCTCCATCCGACCGATAGCCGCGAGTCGCCGCCCAAGCCATCGCCAGCTCCGCCCCCACC